TTTTTTTTTTTTTTTTTTTTTTTTTTTAAAAGCAAAAAAACAAAGGCTCCTCCTATTCTGGGTAGCGTCAGTCCGGTTCCTTTTTTTTTTCCTTTCTTTTTTTTAAACAGAACCTCACGGTTTTGGCTCCTACCATTCTGGGGAGCGACAGTCCGGTTCCTATTCCCCCGGCAAGTCGATATGGATTACATAAAAGACTCACACACGTTCCTCCCCATTATGGCTGAGAGGCCAGAGTGGGCAGCATTGATTACTTCCCTGAGGAAGGATGTACCACCTCTCACCCCTACCTAATCAAGCCTGTACTAACTCTGCCTGCCAATCTGTCTGATCCCAGATCTGCTCCTCTCACCTATGAAGCTGTCAGTTAGCTATGATTATGCAAGAGCATTCTGGAACACTAGTCCGGTTCCTATTCCACCGGCAAGCCGGAATTATACACAACAATTAAGACACGCTCACGCTTCCTTCTGTCTGGCCGAAGGACCCCTGAGCAGCATTCATTACTCCGTCTTGACGGAGGATTGACTGTCAGCTTGCCATGACACCCTCTCTCCTCTCAGACCTGGTGGCTAGGTCTGTCAGATAGTTCTAAATTCCTAGAAAGAGTTTGCCCGGTTGTCTTGTCTGTCCCTTGTACTTCCTTTTATCCATCCTTACCCGAGAGCCACCCTGTCCCCTGCCCGAAATTTCTCTACCCTCTCTGAAAATCCCTTAAACCCTTAATCCCTAAACCCTCGACTACTATCCTGCTCTATGACACCCTTACTTCCATCTTATCCACCCCTCGTGGATGTCTGATCATGGAATGTCTTGTCCACCCCCAGTTGTCTGTTGCTGGTGAGTCCTTCCCGGGGTTGGGTTATGCCACTCTTTCCAGAAAATACGGTCTTCTCGTAACTCCGCAATCTTGCCGTTTATCAACCAGTTCTTGCTGAAGGTCCATCTCTCCTTCTTTCGTTGCTCCGGCTTGTATCACCATTTTCGTCTCCACCCAAACTTTCTCGCGTGGGTTGGACAGTCCTTCAATCGTTCTGCTGCATCTTTCCTTCCATATGACCCATAACCCGGTCTGCCAGATAAGTCTATGATGCCTAGAAAGAGAACACTCCCTGACCCTGCTGGTCTTTATATCCCATGTTGCCAAGACTACCCGAGAGGTCCACAATCCTCTGCCCCACCTTAACCTCCCTTATAGAAATCATATTTTGCCCTTAAGCCCTCAACCCTCAGCAGTGGTACTTCAAACCCCGCTCTCCCTTCAGATCCGGTAACCCGGTCGTGTTTTAATTCCGCCACTATTCCTCTGTTTCCTGTCTTCGTGGAGCTTCTGCCTTAAATTTTGCCGCTTGCATAGCATTTCTCCTAGAGTGGGTATGTTCACTTTTTCCAGCTGTCTGATGAGCTTAGCCAGCCTGCTCGAGACCAATCCTGTCTCCTGCCCCCCGCATACCCTTTCTCCTTCTGGATACCGCTTCATCCCTGAATCCTCAACCTTCGATGCATTGTCATTCTTCAGTTGGTTCTCAAGAAGACATTAGCCCACCAGTAGTTGTCCGCTGTTGGAAGCCTCTTTCTGCCACTGAAATATGCCACTCCCTCCAGCAGATACGATCTTCACGTATCTCTGCAATCTTGCCGTCTATCAGCCAGTTCTTGTTAAACCTCAATCTCTCCTTCTTTCGCGGTTCCTCATCTTCTGTCCATGATTGCTTGGTCTTCCGCCATCTGCACAGGATCTCGGCTTGTATCATCGTTCTGGTTTCCACTCAAACCTTCTCCCGTGGGTTGGACTGTCTTTCAATTGTTCTGCTGCATCTCTCTTTCCATATGACCCATAGCGTCACCCTCCTGATGAGACCAAACCAGATCTTTTCTGCCTTTCTGAGCAGATCAGGGATGTTAGTCAAGAGAAGAAGTTGGATGGGTTGCTCAGGGAAGGGGGTTGGGAAGAGTGAGTCCCAGAGTGTCGAGGCTCTCGCCCAGTATTCTGTCGCCTCTCTGCAGTGCACTAGGCAGTGGACTATATCTTCAACTTCACCTTCCGAGCAAACTGTGCATATTTCCGAACTGTTAGGATCTGAGACCTTTCGTCTAGTGTGTAGCCGTTGGTTCACTGGTAGTGCTGCATAGGCGATTAGCCATTGCAGACTTCTGATCTTAATTGGCCTGATCAGCTTGATTTTTTTCAATTGGATTTGTGTGAGTTTGTCTGCTTCTTTCCCCAATAGGTTCCGCCATCTGTTTTTGATGATAGGGTCTGGATTCTTGGTTTTCAGAGACAGTCTATACCCCAGTTTGACTGTGTGGTCGTAGATTGGGACTTTGGTTCTAATGTCTTTGGCCTTGTCCGGCATCCACGCCCACTCAGCTGGATCAAATTCCAAGTTATGGACCGCTGTGTCCAGTCTGAAGATTGACTTTGGCCATGAGCCAAGGACTCGTACCTTCTTAAGTAAGAAGGATTCCAGAACTGTCAATTCCACCTCGCTATTCCGGATGGTTGGCATACCGGTGGTGGTCATGGATATCGGGAAAGAGAGAAAGGAGGCCCTGATGCGAGAGCCTTCTTGCATGTGGGAGAACTGGAAGGCTCTGGAGGGAATCGTTTCTTGTATCATAATCCCCCATTCTCCAGGTTTCCATGGTGCGTCTTCTGTCAGGATATCTTTCCATTCTTGTGGGATGCGGCCAATTAAGTACAGGAGGTTGGATCCTCGTCTGTGGCATCCTTTCAGTTGAGAGCTAACTTCCTGTTCAGTCTTCCATTCCTTTTTGTCCTCATTCCATAAGTGATCTATTTTACAGATTCCATTTTTGACCCAAGAGAGCCATTTGTGCTCTAGGAAGAGTGGGTTATCACCCTCATTTGTTATCCATTGGTTTCCGAAGAGCGGTGGCCTTAATACTTCATCCTTGGATCTAGGTCTATTGGTCTTACTAGGAATTATTTTTCTCCAGATTTGAAGCAGCGCCGACCAGTATGGAGTAGACGGCCTATAGCCCTCCAGTCTGGTGTCCCTCGTTTGATTCCTTCGCCCTGTGGTTATGACCCAGTATTTGTTCATTACCCAAAACAGTCCTGATATGTCGTTCGGCGATGGCCCTGGGGCCACGGATCTGATGCTGTCTAGGGCTAATTTGTTCCATGCACTATCTGGGTTTATCAGTAGTTTGATGATCCACTTGATTTGTTGGGCTTTGGTTTCTGTTCCAGGGTCTATAATCCCTAGACCTCCTCTTTGTGGGCTCCTCGTCACATAGTACCATGCGATCTTAGATATGCCATTCTCCTTATTAGGGTCCCCTGACCATAAGTAAAGCCTGGCCTTTCGTTTCAACTCTTTGATAGAGCTATCCGGAACTGTCCAGATGGAGGCTATGTACCACATCATTGAAAAGACCAACGTGTTGAAAGCCAGTGCTTGACCGATGAGGGAAGTAAAGACATTGCCCCACCTTCCTATTTTATTGATTTGGTTGGCCAGTATGGCCCATTTGGGGTGCTAGGCCTTTTATTGTCATAAGTATGCCAAGGTATCGGGTGGGGGTGTCCGGCACTTGCCATGTCATGGCTGCTTCTTCTCCTTGTAGCGAAACAGCCTCTTCGTCTGATAGCCACCAACCTATCGTTTTCCCCCAATTGATCTTCATTTCTAAGGCCAGTCTGAACGCTTTCATTGCTTTGGTTAGTGTCCTAAATGAAGAGTCTGATGCTCTAATAAGGACAGTTAGGTCATCCGCAAACATGATGGCTGTGGGAAAGTCCATTTGGTGGGCCAAGCCTATATTGGTACTGGATAGTCTTTGGATTGATGGATCCTTGCGCAGGAAGGATGCAATAGCTTCCATTACGAATAGGAAGATCGATGGGGCCAATGGGTCCCCTTGGCGGACTGAACGGGAGATTGGGTAGCATTCTGACAGTAGTCCATTAACTTGGACACAACCGACTGCATCCTTGTACAATATACGAACCCATTTTCTAAAATTCGGTCCTACTCCCATCTTTTCCATACTTGCTTCCATGAAATCCCAGTTTACGTAATCATACGCCTTTTCAAAATCAAAGAAAAGTATGGTGGTATTTATTTTCCTTTCTCTAATCTTTCTTACCGCCTCATTCAGTATCAGTACATTATCTAGAATATATCGTCCTGGGATGAAACCTGTTTGATCAATGTGGAAGCATTTATTTGTGATCTTGATTATTCGGTTGGAAAGGGCCTTGGCCAAAATTTTGTA